ATTCATCAACATTGAGAAAAAGAAGACAGCAGTAATATTTTTGGATGCAGAAAAAGCTTTTGACCATTTGGAACAGACTTTTTTCCTAGAGGCGGAGAAGAATTCAACACTTGGGTGGAGAGCATATACCAACAGCAATCAGCAAAGATTACAGGGAACGGAATATACTCCGGAAACTTTTCCATGAGCAGAGGCACAAGGCCAGGGTGTCCACACTCTCTATTATCATTTGTAATTGTGCTGGAAGTCTTGGTGAGCAAGATCGGAAAAGACAAACAAATAATCGAGATCAAAGTTCAAGGAGAGGAATACAAGATGAAATGTTACACAGCTGATATAACATTAACAGTTACAAAACCACAAAGCTCTATACAACAGTTGATGGAAGTAACCAAAGATTTTGGTTGCTTTTCCAGATACAAAATCAACAAAAAAACGTCCACAACCAAATAATAAAGCATTTAACTTCCAAGGAGAAAACAATGTGAAAAAAGAGACTGGTTGTGAGATAAGATCCAGTGAAATATTTAGGGCTTTACCTGACAGGATGCAATGAAGACATATTCAAAACAATTACAACAAATTATGGAAAGAAATAAAATAAGATCTTGAAAAGTGGAAAAACTTAAAACTTTCCTGTCTAGGACATATGACAACAATAAAAATGTATTACCCAAGATAAACTACTCAATTCAAATGTCACCAGTTCAAATCCCAGATAAAAAATTGCAAGATTAGCAAAGAACAATTAATATATTTACATGAGAAGAGTAAGTTTCAAAATTTTTCAAGACTTAAAGAGAGGTGGAATAGCTTTTCCCAACCTCAGATTGCATAATAGAGCAAGTTGTCTATCATAGATAAAAGAATGGATAAATTTTCCTAAAAGCAGAATATCAGCTATAGAAGGAGCGGGCTTTGCCAATGGACTTCACAGATGTACAGTATATGGTAAGACAAACAAAGGGAAACAAGAATCTGAAGGGACATATTATAAGACAAAATCTGTTAAAAATTTGGAATGCTTTAAAAGCAAGGATAAGTCCAACCATTTCACAATTAGCATCACCACCAAATGCTTTTTTATTTCAAAGACCATTACGATAAGAAAGATCCAGAGATCCACCACCCAGAGTCACCTCACAGTGAGATGGGCAGTGACAAATTTGAAATAAAAAATAAAATAAAATCTGATCACGTATGCCAATATGACACATCTTCTAATTTTATCTTATATTACTCTACAAAATTTTCCATGTAATATTTGTGTTCGTAATTTCTATGCATCTTTCTTTTTTCTCTCTTTCCTTTTTTTTTTTAAAAAAGAAAACTGTTAAGAAGTTAGAGACATAGCAAGTTTGCCCATTCACCCTGATCCATCTCCTTGTTTAACTCCTTGTAATGAAAAGTAGGAATATCCTTGAGGAACAGGAGGAAGAGGTAATGGTCAGATAAATGAAATCTGAGTCCGGGGCAGAAATGTAGTTTGAGTAAGTATCTCAGACATGGCCCTCCCTAGTTTTGTAACCATATAGTAAAAGTAGTATTAGCATTCATAATTCTGGCATCCTAGTCTGGTTTACCTTGAAGGGCTGACATCAACCTTGCAAGTTTGAATGCGCTTCCCCCTTCAGCCTCCAGGCACCAAGACAGGACCTCCATAGCATCCCTTAGTTGGCCTGGGGTGGAGATATAAAGCTGGGTATCATCAGTATACTTATGAGACTTCACCCCGTGCCTTCGGATAACCTCACCCAGCAGCTTCACGTAGATGTTAAACAGGAGACGAAAAAATACCAAACTGTGTGGCACCCCACAAAGCAGGGGGTGCAGTGTGGGACCTCTCCCATTCAAACAACACTGCCTGGAACCAGCCCCAGAGGAAGGAAGAGAACCAGCGCAATATGGTGCCACCCACATGCACTCTCCAGAGCTGTTCTAGAAGGATATCAAGTTTGATGGTATTGAAAGCCACTGAGAAGTCAAGAAGAGGAAGGATGGATGCACTACCCTCATCCCACTCTGCCATCCAAAAGTACAACCAATGCCATTCCCATCCGATAACCAGGCTTGAATCCAGACCAAAAGGGGTCTAGATAATTCACTTCAAACAGAATCCTGTGCAACCACCTTCTCAACAACCTTCCCTAAAAAGGGAAGGATGGAGGCTGGACAAAAATTGTCCTAAACTGTCTAGCAATGGCTTCTTGAAGAAGGGGTGAACCACCATCTCTTTAAGAGAAGGAGAACAACCCCTCCCAAGGGAGAATTTACCACTGCCAGCACCCAACCACATGTCATATCCTCGGTGGCCTTAGCCAGCCAGGATGGACATGGATCTAATATACAGCTCACAGTCCTGAGGACCCTATCTGCTTCCTCAGCTCCAGCAGGATCAAACTCCTCCCAGATAACTGAGCAAGACTGTGACGCAGTTATCTCCACAGGACCTGTTCTAAAGCGGGACTCTAACTGGGAGCAGATCCAAGTGATTTTGTCCAACAGATGCCCAGCATGTTCTCAGCCATGAAGGCCACTAGTTGACCTTTGCTAGACACATTCTTTCAACCAACAATTGTTTGATGGAGAAAAAAGATCAAAATATTCTGCCTTGAGCTCCCCTGGCAAAAGCAGGCAATAATAAACAGTAATAAATAATAAATACATGGCATTCCAAAAGGACAAAGGAAAGTTCCCTGGCTTCTCTCAACTGGCCGTAGAAAATAAAGACTGCTGCTGATTCTTAGGAACTTACTTAGGGACTTGGGCCAGTAACTTATTAATCAACCTTCCCGGTAGGGTTCTGAGGATAAAAGTTTATAAGTTGAACAATGGTGCATGTTGTATTATGTAGTTATGTTGCCCTAAACTTGGAAGGTTTGAGTCAAGTTAATAAAAAAGTGATTGTGTTCATGTTGTGAGCTAAGCCATGGCATACTTTATTTGGTTTTGCTTTATTGTGTTGCACGTAAGATCTAGATAGTTGAAAAACAGATGTTCTTGCTTTTTAAAAATCACAGAAAACATTGGGCTATTGAATAAATCTGAAACATACATGTAGATGGTGCTATGAAAGATAATTCAGGATTCTTTTTTGTTTGTCTGTTAATAAAACACTTGCTCAGGAAGATTCAGAAGCAGTGTAGTAGTACTTTTAAGATTAATACATTTTATTGCAAGGCACAAGCTTTCAGGAGCTGTAGCTCACTTCATCACATGCGTGGAGTGGCTTAAGTGATGTGGGATTTAAATACATTGGGATAAGGCAGAAGGGGAAGACAGGATAGTTATGCAGAGGAAGGTTTCATGGAGGAGAGAATACGGGTACCTTATCAACTAACAAATATAATGTGCTAAAAATCTCATGTGTGTACTTGTTGGGGCCCATGATGATGTTGTTGGTATAGATGTGGGGGCAGAATAGATACCTGGGTTTTTGGCAGGGTCCAGTTCCCATGTTAGCATCGTTGTCCTGTTGCTTCTTGTTGCTTGTGACAGTCTGCTTCAGGCTGGGGTATTGACTGTATGCAAATAAGGGCCTGCCAGCCAGTGCTTGAGAAAGTGCAGGATCATTGTCCAGTATAGGCTGAAATGTATTCATAATGCATTTGAGTGGCTTGAGCTGTGAGCTGTAGGTGACAACCAGTGGTGTTCTGTTGTTCTGTTTTTGTGGTCTGTCTTTTAATAGGTCGTTCCTGAGACTCAGTCTGGCTCTGCTGATTTGCTCAGGAAGAGCAGGCCTGGCCTATTTTTAAAATTGGGTTTGATTAATTAAAATATTTCATGTCTAAAGACTCCTGGAAGTTTCCAGGTACCTAAGCAGTCAGTCATTTTATTTCAGTCATTGACCAGCAAAGCAGACCTAATCTATGTATCTGGCCATTAACGTGGGTTTATTAAAAGATATTTGGGCACAAGATAACTAAAGTAACAGTTAGGAGGAACTAAACTACAAGCAGCAAAAGCTTCAAGAAAAAGGAACGCAGGTAACCACTGGGGACATGCCAATGAGCATCAGCTGAACAGAGTACTGTAAGTTAGTCCCATTTTTCTTTTAAATTTGAGGCACTGATTTCTGATCTGGTCAGTTTCCAGGCCAACTTCAGTTAGAAATCCAGAAATGTGCTAGATTGGATGTAGGAGGCAGGAGAGGATTTAATATTTAGACATGTTGAGAAGGACACCAGAGGGCAAAAGGTGTTGCTGACTCTCTGGGACTAGAGGAAATTTACTTGCAGACCAACACTTGACTATGCATTGTGAACTGAACATCTTGTATAATTCATCTCTTTATTCTGTGTCTGGAGAGCCAGTCTGGTGTAGTGGTTAATGCATCAGGCTAGAAACCGGGAGCCTGTGTGCTCTAGTCCTGCCTGGGGCACGAAGCCAGCTGGGTGACCTTGGGCCAGTCCCTCTCTCTCAGACCTAGGAAGAAGGATGCAAGGGCAAACCAATTCCGAAAATCTTGCCAAGAAAACCACAGGGATTTGCCTAGGCAGTCGCCAGGAGTCAATGCTAACTCAAAGGCACAAAACAGAATTATAATCTACGGCTGAGTGTTTTTCTGTTCATAGAGGGCTACCAAATCTGGGCTGCAAAAATCAAGATGACTGCTAGAATCAGAGCTTCTGAATCTCTTTGCTGCTGTTGAGTTGTAACTGGACTTTTGCAGCCCAAATCTGGTAGCCCTAGTTAATGTATCTTTGAAAAAGATATCGCTTTAGCATAATTGTATAAATTTCACTTCAAACCTTGTCTATATTTTCCAAGTCAGGTACACTAGTTGCAAGGCAACTCTCAATCTAAAAACTGTTAAATTTTTGGACTTTAAAATATCTCTTTTTTGTCATCCTCACCCACAACCCCAAAATCTTTTCAAAAAGATAGATACAGTTTCACAATAAAAAAGTAAGTTTAATTCCTCTGGGTTGACTTTGGTCAAAGAACAAAGTGTTTCTTTTTTTGTGAACATAAATAAAACTTGTTTTCCTTTGGTGCAGCAACCAAACACAGGAAATGATGCTGTTTTGGAGGATAGCCATATTCAGTGCTCTCATGAGGGTGTACACTTCTTCCCAGATTTCGTGGGACTTCAGTTTGGGCTCCTTCATCTATTCACCTGTGAGTACTTTCAACGTTCATACCTGCACCGGCGGAGGATCAAGTCCTACACATGATGTAGTAGCTCGGAATTCTGACTATCTGTAGTTCCGCATATCTAGAGGCTACAATAAGAGAAGGTGATGGGTGGCAGTGAGTCTCCAAGGAGCAGCCTGGGATATCACAGCTCAGCTTCTCCTTGTTTTTACATCTTTCCAAAACTGTTGAGGGGATCACGTGGCCAATATCTTTTTCAGCACAATTGGGAATACTAGAAAGTTCCATTCTTTTGAGGGTTTGCTAACCCCAGAAATCAGTGTCATAGAAGTGTTGCCGCCTCTGAAATTCCAGGCGATTGATTCACCAGGAATGAATGTTTACGGTTCTTCTTGAAAACCCTTCCCCCAATGCATGACTCCCTCTCTTCTTACAAAGGGGAAAATGCCTGTTTTTCAGATTCACAGCAAGTGGGGCAAAACAGAGGACAACACCACACAACTAGAGTTACACAGGCAAAAGCGCCAGGGTAGGTGGATATCTTTTAATGTCTTTTGCTTGCAGATAGAAGCTTCATCCTTGGATACACTGTCGGTTTGCACAATCACTTTGCTTTTGGTGGATAATCTGATTTCTGCCTTGCTTGCTCTCTGCACGTGAGCAGAAGCTACCAGCCTCATCTCCCCAGATGGATGGCCCTCTAATCAAAAGCATCTTGCAACCTCATGGAAACTGGCCCCTCACCAGGTGCACTAATCCAGTGTAGATGCCCCAAAGCTTCCCTGCTTCACCACTGTGTGGAGGCAATCAGAGGAAAATGAGTGATGAAGCTGGGGGAGAGTGGCTGCTTTTCTTCTTTTTGTATATTTTTAATTATATTTAAACTGTTTTAACTAATTAAATAAACAGCTCATTTTTTAAAAAGTAATAAATTCATCATGCTATACTATTTATTCATTTAAGCCGATTAAATGCTAGCTGTTAGTAGAAAGGTGTTATATATATCGGGGTACAATATCTGGGCTGCAGAAAACCAGACATCTACCGGATGGCAGCAATGAGATATCAACAATTCTGTATTTCTACAGGCCAGGTACAGAGGCCCTAATGTGTCTTAAATAAACACTGAATAAAGATACAGGTAGTCCTCACTTACCAACTGCAATTGGGACTGACAACTCTGTTGCTAAGCGGTGCAGTCGTAAAGTGAAATGTCATGTGACCACTCCCAACTTACAACATCAGTTCTGGCTGTGGTTGTGAAGCAAATCATGTGTGGTCATTAAGTGTGTAACCACGACTTGTGACTTCCTGTCAACCTTCCCATTGACTTTGCTTGTTGGAAGCCAGCTGTGAAGGTCACAAATGGCAATCACATGACTGAGGGATGCTGCAATAGTCATAAATGCATGCCAGTTGCCAAGTGCCTGAATTGTGATCACATGACCATGGGGACGCTGAGATGGCCACAACTTTGAGGACCAGTTGTAAGTCTCCTTTTTCAGTGCCGTTGTAACTTTGAACGGTCGCTGAACAAGTAGTGGGTAAGTGAGGATTACCTGTATTTGTGTTGTTCTACATTCTTGGCTTCTGGTAAAGAAGGAGGCCAAATGTGATTGCCTCCACAATAGTGATGGAAGTGCCATTTTAGGTCCTTTTCTCACCCTTTAGTTTTCTTGATAGGTAGGGTAGGGATGTCCAACTTTTCTTGTTGATGGGCACATCAACATTTGCAATGTTAAAGCACATTGCTATGGGGACAGAGGGCTTGCCTGTTCACAAAAGGATGGCAATAGAGGGGTGGCCAGTCCCAAGGAAACTGGGAAGAACATCCCAAAGTCATCAAGGAAGGTGTCAGTGGGATCATTACTGCATGGGCATCATACTGGGGGCTGCAGAGATAGGATATAGGGCAACTCGAGTACGCCAGTGCTTTTTGTGGTAAGGATATAACATGCTAAATGGAGATACAGGTAGTCCTTGAGTTACAACTGCAACTGGGACTGGGATTGCCATTGCTAAGCAAAGTGTTCATAAAGTGGGATGTCATGTGACTGCATTGCTTAGTAATGGCAATCCAGGCAGTCCTGGTTGTTGTTGTAACCCATGATGTGTGGGTCGTTAAGCAGGAAGTGGAGGGAATTCCAGGCAAGGAGCGCGGGGGTGCTGCAGGGGGGTGGGGGAAGCCCTGGGAGGTCTGGCGCAGGCTGCGCATGAGTTAGGGGAGGGTGCACACGAGTTAGGGGTGCTATGGTATGGCGTGAGCTTAGGAAGGCCAGGGAAGGAAGTGAGCTGGTGGGTGCATACATGTGAGCAATCACAGGGAGGCCATGGAAAGAGGGTGTGGGGTGCATGCATGTGAATGTGCAATCACAGGAAGGCCAGGGTAAGAGGGTGCAGGGTGTGTGCGCGCGTATGTGCAAGCAAAGGGGGAAGGAGGGCACAGTGTGTGCAAATAAAGAAAGGCCGGGTGGTGAGACTTACCCGAGTGACTTGTGACCTTCCATGCCAACTTCCCCATTGACTTTGCTTGTGGGAACCCGGCAGGGAAGGTTGCAAATGGAAATCATGTGATCGTGGAGTCCTGCAATCAGCCATAAGTGCGAGCTGATTGCTAAATGCCCAAATTTTGTTCACGTGATTGTGGGGGTGCTACAATGGTCAGAACTTTGAGTACCGGTAGTAAGTCCCTTCGTTCAGTGTCGTTATAACTTCAAATGGTCGCTGAAGGAATGGTCATAACTCAAGGACTACCTGTATATATCAGCATGGAAAAAGCTGCAACTAGCTAAGATAACTAGTAACCAAAAAACTTACTAACGGCAAATTAACACAATCTTTGCATGGGCTCTGCACACATCTGGATCCCCAAGTCTGTGACAAAACCATTCCATTAAGGCCTTGCAAAAAGCCAGCGGAGTCGGGGCCAATCTAATCTCTGGGGGGATGATGTTCCAAAGGGTGGGAACCATGACAGAAAAGGCTCTTTTCCTGGGTCCCGCCACATGACACTCTTTCATGGAAAGGACCTGTAACATGCCTCTCCTGCTGGTCCTGATGGGATGGGTAGATGTAACCAGCGAGAGGTGATCCCTCAAATAACCCAGCCTGATGCCATGAAGGGCTTTATAGGTCATTACCAGCACCTTGAATTGAACCCGGAAGCATATTGACAACCAATGCAGCTTGCAGAGCAGAGGTATAACATGCGCTGATTGAGGAGTGCAAATAACTGCCCACATTGCTACATTCTGTACCAGCTGTAGCTTACAAAACAGTTGACAAAGATATGCTCATTGTGAGAGATTTTCTGACTCCTGGGCCTGAGGCTTTCTGACATGGACAGTCATTGAGAAGAAGATAGCAGGACTTGGCTGAGTCACTCTAATGACAGAATTAATTATGACAGATCACTTCTTTCCCCCTTGTTAGACTTTTCACCAGAATACTCGATTGCAGTTGAGATAAACTTTGTGGATGCCTCACTCCAGGAGGACCTCAGAAGTTTTCTCAGAAACCTTAGTCTCCCAGTTTCGGTCAAAATCCCTGATTCAGATGTAAGCATTTCACATATTAATATTACTACAGGTAAGTAGTCCATCATTTACTACCAACATTTGCTTTCTCTATTTTTAATTTAATTTTTGGTTTTTTGGGGGGGAGGTATGTTAAAAATAAGCAGCTGGCTGAAAGATAAATGTATTTATTCTTCACCCCCAAATTTGTCTGGCTATATGTAAATGCAAAAAATATGCACATCTTTGTGACATGCTTAAGACATGTGAGGGGAATGAGGGTTGCTAGATCCGTGGTACAAAACTTGAAACCAGCAGTTCTTAAATGTTTTGGTCTCAGTACTCTTTTACATTCTTAAAAATTATTGAGGACCCCAAAGAGCTTTGGTTTATGTGGGTTTATTTATTCATTCATTTAAAAATAACAATAATAAACTCATTACATGTTAACACAACTAACCCTAACCCTAAAACTGAGTTAAATTCTGAAAACACACATATTTATACCCTAAACCTGCTACTTTAGAAAATTCTAGAAAACACAAGAAAACACGAGCACACATTCCATTAGCCATCAGAGTGATGACTTCATCACCTGTCATGTAGCCCCTGGAAAACTCCATTCTACACTTATAAGAATAGAAATAAAAAAGTCAAATAACATTTCAGTATTATTATAAAAATAGTTTTGAGTTTGCAGGGCCCACTGAAAGGGATTGAGGGACCCCCAGGGGTCCACAGACCACACTTTGAGAACTGCTGTTCTAAACAATCAGTAAATATTAGGCCACAAAGACTTAGCATTTTACCTATCTCTTTGCTGTCACCTAGCCAGATTTTGGCAGCCCCTGTCCAGGAGCCAAGGGCATGACCATATGTTTAAGCAGTAGCTTCCAAGAGACTTCTCCATTCTTCTTTTTTTTTTTTAAATCACCTTCTATAAACATTTGCTGATGCCTGACAGCTCTTCTAATATGCAAAAAGGAAGTCTGCTGGGAACACAAGAGCCTCTACAGTAGATGGTGGCTCCTTGTGGTTCAAGCTAATGGAATTGATTGTTCTCATGTTCCAGGAAGCTGTAGCACTCTCTGTTCACTTAGTTCCTTTCCGCTTTAATGTCTTGATCAGAGGTTGTAGGGTGAATTTCTTTTGGATGTCATAAAAGTGCAATCAGAACTGAAACGTATTTGGGAGAGCTAATATAGCAGGAAACACTAAAGTATTTACAGAAGATTAGCAACACTTCCTGCAACAGATAAAATTCTGTGGAGCAATCTGGTTTATTAAAACAATACTACATTTATTCGTTTAATGTACTTAAACATTTGTCCTCCCTGTTTCTCAACATATTGTTCTAATCCAGTGGAGAAATGTGGGCTATCAAATTTGGACTAGAACATGTAGAGTTTTGCAGCTTAGATTGGGTAGTTCTGCTATTGGTTTAAAAATATTGTAGAGTGTTCAGAAAAGATTTACACAACGCTTCTTTGTTCTAAGAATGAAATCTGCAATGGATTCTCTATCTGAGAGGGGGTGCAGGGAGAGTTCAGCGAGGCAGTCGGGCTCTGTTAGAGTCTTTACTTGCAGACATTTAGGCTGCTTTGCTAAGAATCACTTTATACCTGAAAAATGAGATGACCGGAAGCCCTTGGTCAAACTGGGTGAGGACTTACGTTCCTCTTGACATTTGGAACATGCACAAAGTAGTCTGTAGTGTTTGAATGTTGCACACTGAAATTAGTAATATCTAATGTAATCATTTAACTTTTAATGTGTGTTAGAGAAATTGGGACTAAGAAACCCAGCACATCACCTTTGCTATTGCAGACCTGACTGATCATTTTGTGACTTTTCCAATATATTTTATGACTGCACAAAAGCACTTGTGAGGTTACAAAAGGGATGGCAGATATTATTCAGTTGTAGCTGATCAATATTCAAAAAGTGTTTAGGGTTTAGGCTCTTGGATTTTCAACCTTCCAAGTTTGTATGTGGTTTGAATCATGCATACAGAGTAAACGTAATCAATGAACTGAACAACACCAGCAAGATACAATGACTACAAAGTCTTTTTTTTTATGTTTTCTCACATTAGTGTGCAACTCAACTGGCACTAATCATTCTCATTGTTTCTGTGAACCTGATTATGGATGGTCTGCCAAGATCTGCGAAGCATATCCTGTCTGCCATAATACAACAGCTGCAGTGGGAAAGAGCTGCAACTGTATTGCGCAGCTTCCTCCTCAAGGGACCTTTTGTCAACTTCAATCAGAAGGTAAGAGAAGGTGGCAAATGATGATGAATGATGGGTTATGGGCAGCAGCAATTCATTCATGAGAAAATGATTTCTGGTAGGTAATCTGCCAAATGGAAGCTTAAATTATTTTCAACTCAGGAAGTTCTAATTGAGTCTTACGTGTTCTGCCGTAGCAGCTTTCCACCTTTTCAGGTCAGGGTTCTCCCATGAATCCTAAAAGGAACATAGCACCCACATGAATTTTTTTTAGAGTATATGTGTCTTTATTTTAGATCTCTTAAAAAATGTTTCCAGTGTCCCACTCATAGCAGATCTGATCTGATCTGATCTGATCTGATCTGATCCGATCCGATCCGATCCGATCCGATCAGATCCAATCAGATCAGATCCGATCAGATCAGAAGAAAGAAAGCTCAGGGAAATCAGCATTCACCATTCTCTGCACTTTTTTCCTCAACAAAGATAATGGCAGGGAATATATAGAGGTTATTTGTGGGGCAGCCTCTTCCTTAGAGTATCTGCCTGTCCTATGAGATTGGATAGGGTAGCCATGCTCCAGGTACCTTCCCTGAAACCTTCCCACCTAGTAGGACCTCAGAAGCATGTCTTTTCCGTGGAACACCCTCCCTCTGGTGATTTGGCAGGCCCCTACCCTTTTAGCCTTCAGGAAGGCCATCAAGACCTGGCTTATTACCCAGGTGCTGGGGTAGAGTGAGGATGTCTGGAATTGGTTGTGGGGCATGCCAAGGGGATAACTGAGGTGCTGGGTTTTGTTTGGGTTTTATGGTTTTATGTTTTTTTCATTTTTTATAATCCTGGGTTTTGCTGTGGATAAGAGCTGCCCAGAATTGTGTTTTTAGATGGGCAGCCATACAAATCTTTTAAATCAAGAGAGAGAGAGAGAAACCAGCTCATCTAAATCTACTTGCTGGGTTGGTTTGGGTTTGATAGGATTTAAGACCCAAGAGATCCCCAGCCTTCACTCCTCAAGCCTCGCTGCCATAGCCCTTAAGGAATAGGAAATAAAAGGCTGGTGGAGAATGGTAGAAAGGATTGGGTGTTGTTTGTTGGGAAAGGAACGTGTCACATTTGGCCAGAAAGTTATGGTTTTCCCATCAACCCCATTAAGCTTCCCTGCCTGTTTTCTGTTGTTGCTTTTTAATCTCTTCCTTCAGACTATAAGCTCCTTGCCCCCAAACTTTAATCTTTCACATATTAAAGTCCTTCTCTTCTTTTCGTGTACCATTATTTTTTTAAATCTCTCCTCTTTATAAACCTTTATCAAATAAAAATGGTGATGGCATAATGGGTGCAAATTGAGACAGATCAGTGACCTAACAATTTTGTTTCGTAACTCTAAAAACCTCACCCTGTATTATGTTGGGGAAGGAAGAATCCTCTGAAGTACAACTTACAGCATCCCTCAACATTTAGAGGACCATGGACTCCCTGCCCCTGTATTTTACACTGCTGCTATTGATGTAAACTTGGCCAATTCTTCACTTTCTGGAGTCTGTCAAATGTCACCTAAATAATTTTTGTCTTCTATAACCTATTCAATCAAACAAAATAATGTAATTTCAGATCAGAAAGTCAGATTTTTAACATCATCCTATGCTTTGCAAAATTTGAAAAACCTGCTTAATTGTGCAGCTGCATCAACTATACTTTGATTCCACAAAGCCTAAATCCCCAATGTGGGGATGGTGCATTGCTTGGTGTTTGCCGAGCTCTCTGCTACATCTAGTTGTACTGGTTTAGAATATTTTGATTTTAAGAAATGAGTGGGAAGTTAGCATGCAGCAAATCAGAGCATCGGCCCCAAGCATTAGCTGTGTTTCTCATGTCTATGCTCCCCATATAGAAACCAGAGGCACTCTTAGAAAATAAAAGACTGGATAGCTGCAGCCTTCTGGTAAATGGGTCCTTTATGATTAGCCATATCCACCACCGCAACTATTCTGGGAGAGGGCCTATGACATCCCATCAACAGTCTCAGTATGCCCACTGATTCCCAAGCATGGCGACCTTAGCTTGGTTTCTCTTCCAGACTAGTATATATAATCCGCACTACCTAAAAGTTGTCCTTTCACAAAAGGGTCCCTTCTGTGTCATTTCACGTTGTTTGTGCTCTGTTCCCATCCTCCTTATTTCTAGTTATTTTCCATTTAATCTCTCTTTTTTAAACTTTTGTTATGTTACTGCTCCTACTCCAGTCCTAATATTTTAACCCCTCTGTTGTACTTGCTGTTCCATTTGCTCACACTGCCAATTTCATATTATTAGACCCATCTCTTCTTCTTTTCTCTATGGTATCATGCAAGCCCCAGTTACAGCATACATAACAAAATTAATGGAGATTTTAAATGAATGGAATATTAAGAAGTGAGGGCTAAATGCAAGCGTTTAGCCAAGATTGAGTTTTACTATTAAATAATCCTATATTTTCAAATCTTTATTTTAGCTACTAATAAGATTGTCTTCTTTTCTACCACAGATATTCCTTCAGTGCTCATAACAAAAATGTCTGTCCGACTTAATCTGCCCTTTGAGAATGCTCTGTGGGATCCATCCTCTGCGTTATTCAAACAATATAAACACGATCTTGAGAAGGCAGTAAGTCTGAGCTGGTTCTTAAGCTAAAACATGACTGAGATATTTTAAAAAATCTTTTTACTGAGCTGAAGAGGATTTCTTTTGAAGGTGTGTACTGTAGATATTTGAGCTGATTAAAACAAATGCAAGTCCAGTCTAATCTGGATGTAATGTAAAGCCACTAAACTCAAGGTACTGCCAATGGCTTGTGACTTGGTATCCTTTCTTAGTGCCTCAGCTGTAAACCCCTAACTGAAGCCATCAAAATAAGCTCTCCATAGGCATATCATATGGCACAATTTTCACTCCATGTCCACTTACAATCTGTCACAAAATAATTTGAATCTGACTTTGGATTATTTTCACTTTGGGTTGCTCAGAACAGGCCAAGAATTCCATAAACCAATCTGTTCTCCTTCCAGATGAACAATAGGAGGATTAAAAATTGGTACTGAAATAGCCCCTGAACTGCCACAGCTCCTGGAGCAACAAACATGTGGCCTTCTTCCATAACAGTGGCTGTTGTCTTTTTATTGTGGCAAATGTACACAACTGCACCAAAAGTGTGAAGAGGGTCTCTAGCTATTTTCTTTTGTGTGTAGCTGGGGATGGAGCTGATGTTTTAAATGGCCTATGAAGGATGCAGTATTTTTATGGGACTGATAGTATCAAGCTTACAAGAACAGCAACACCTTTTTTTAAAAATTGAAACACCTAAGTAACAGAAGGAAATAAATGATTGCAGATATATGCAGGTCCTTAACTCCTAATGTGTAAGATAATACATTCATATATTCAGCTAGGGAAGGCCTGGCAATAGCATGGTGGAAGAGTAGAAGAAACATTCCCTGTGCAATATGCAGTTTTCAACCTGGATGAGAGACCCTGTTTGCATGGAGGTTCACCTTGTTGGGAATCCTTTAATCTGAATTTTTGCAGTGAGCATAGGGTTTGATTCAGTGTCCTAAATGGGCCCTTCCAACTTGATGATTTTATGATTATTCTCCCCATTTTAAGGAGAACAAGAACAAATTGGGCTTTGCTGCTATTATGTCCTCATGTGGCTCATTAGAGATTTTCCATAGTGGGGACATCACATTGTTCTTCCGCTGCGCTATTTTAGAACTGAGGACACACATTGCTGACATCCAAGAGAAACCACAGACACAGTTGTATTGGACCCTATAACCCAGATATTTTGAAGCCTGAGAACTGTTCATATAAAGAGCTCTATTTCATCTTCTTATGACAGGAATGAATGGACTTGGATTGGATTAAACTCTGGCTTTGGATGAAGATGCAGGTTAACAAATCCATAGAACCCTAGTCACACAGATTTTCTGTGTAAAGGTTTTTGTAGGATTTAGAACTTTGAGGCAGACTTGATAGGGATTTACTGTTATTAATTTATTAAGGGCTTATCTTACTTTTTCTTCAGCAGCCAGCTTAATTTCATTTAAGTATATTACTTGAGTGAACAGTTAAACCAACATTCCCTTATCTAATACCTTTCAGATGTTTTGGATAACAGTGCCCTTAGCTGGTTACCATGCTGATTGGGAGTTATAGGTATTGTAATCCAACATATCTAGAGGAAACTCTCTTCATCCAGCTTTAAAGGGTTATTTCCATGTTGGATTTGACAAAGAATCCTTAGCCCATAAGATCAGGACTGTGACAATAATTACATTCTTTGATGCTTCATGGAAGGAAGTAGGCATGTCTGTAGGTGAAATAATATGGCCTTAATTGTCAATAAATACTCTGTAAAATATATTGCTTTTTTTCAGTTTACTGCGGGCTATTCAACCTTACCGGGTTTCATAAATGTAACAGTTACAGGATTCAGGTATGAAAATGTTTTCATTTCACTTGAAAAGATTAGAGGAGGAAATGATTTGCTTTGATCTTTGCACATTGATCTAACTGATAAATGCTAAGCATAAAATTAAGATCAGTTTCAAGTAGTCCAAAATAATAATGCAGAGAGAAGCTTTTCCTGCAGGAAGATCCACAAAAAAACACAAATACAACCTATAGATAATTGAAAAATCAAGTTTGCTGTAGTTAAAGATGCTGGATTAGGAACAGGAAGACCCTTGGCATGGAAGCCAAAAGGGTGGCTTTGGGCCAATCACTGTCTGTCAGCCCTAAACTAGGAAGTTGAAAAACATCCCCGAAGAAGGTACTGACAAACCACTTTTCTGAAAATGTTGCAAAGAATCCTTAGCCCATAAGATCAGGACCGTGACAATAATCACATTCTTTGATGCTTCATGGAAGGATGTAGGCATGTCTGTAGGTGAAATAATGTGGCCTTAATTGTCCACGTAGTCCATGTAGTCACCAGGAGAGTCAAGACCAAAACAACAGCCTGTCTGAGTCAGTTGGCTTCAGTTGTCCTTCTTGTCCCATCAAACAATGATTCTCTCCCAGCTGAATCCTCAACCGATGAAACTTCCCACCTCTTTCTATCCAAATTGGTGAAGTTACCAACCACTCTCCTGATTCCTCTGTGTACCCAAAGCTGCAGGGAGTGGAATCCCGGCTGGGCAAAGTGCTGCAGGGAGAAAAAACTCAGGTTTTCTCTCCTTTTACTTCTTACTCACAGGTAGACTTTCTGCCAGCAGAGGGCCCTTTCTTCTTTTCTTCTGGTTACCATGCCCAAACGTGAGGACTTTTCTAAAATTTTAACTCTCTCCTTATTTCCAACACAAGCTTTTTTCTCTCCTTTCCTCCCTCCTGCTGCCTGATCTACTGAGGATCAGGCGGTCTAGCAGGAGGTGTTTTTTTAATCCATGTCCTCAACCTCTAGTTCCTATTTCCCCCCTTCTGCTGTTTAGCAGTTTAACTTAACCATTTTAACTTTACCTGGCTTGCAGTAACTTCCCTGCCACCAAACAGGTTGCCCTTTATTAGGCCAACAGAAGTTCACAAAATACACAAGTTTCTATAGGGTGTTATCAAAAGCAGAGTGTGGGGTGAAGAAGATAAAATGCTTGACAATGTGAAGCTTTGAAAGCTGCACATTTGAAAGCTGCACAAACCTGGAAAGAAGCAAGGACCTTCTCCAAGTCTATGATGTTTAAGGCCCCTTACGAAGCAAAAAAGCCACAATTATGACTTTATTTTTGAAGGTATGAACTCCAGCTATATTGGACCTGTCTGTATCCTTAATTAATATATACACATTCTTTAAGTGGAAAAGAAAACTAGGGACATGCAGCTGGGGATAGTTTTACATGATGTATTGAGGTTTAAACAATAAACAATAAAGCCCAAACAGGTAGTTTTACATTATAATGAAGCCAGCAAAAAGCTGTAATTATTTATTTACTTAATTAATTAAAAATTAATTATTTCCTGTAATGGAAGATCATGCGGCTGCACATACAAAGTAGGGCATTTGCATGTGGAAAGAATGAATGTTTGAAACCCATTTCTTTTCCTTTTAAGTGATAACAGCAAACAGTATGTTACAATATTGTTAATAACATCATCGGGGTGGTAGAAATAAAATTGCTCTAATCAGGGCTGCAAATTGTCCATTCCCAATAGAAATGCAGAGATAAACATGGAAACACAGTGTCAGGACTTACAAAGCAGTGAATATTTTAATTCAGGGTTCTTAGAGTCCATTATACAAGTCTAGGGGTTAAGATACTTTGGGTTACCCTCAGTAGTGTTTTGTTTTGTTTTTTTGTCTGAAGAACATCATGTACTAGGAAAAAAAACAAGCAAACAAACAATTGTCAGGAGAATTGGTGGGCCCTCTGAAGTAGATTTCAGGAGTCCCGGGAAGATAGAAATTCTACTGCAGAAACAGGAGTCCACTCTTGACTATCCCTTTGTCCTGTTATCCATTAGCCATTATGCTGCTTTTCTGGTGGATAAGGCAGTGGAGAAAGAATAGTAGAAGAGAATGATGATGGAACCCATATCTGTTTTTTCCCCCCTCCAGCTATCATGAAAATACAACTTTAAAAGCCATTTTGTATATTATTTATTATGCAATGACCCTGAACTCACTGGACTTGATTTTTTTTTTTTTTTTGCATAGGCCTGGAAGCACCATGGTTGACTATGAAATAACCTCAGCAAGGCAGATCCCACTTGAAAATGCACATCCCCAAATAGCTGCTGCCTTAGGCCACCACTACCAGTTAGCAACGTCCACCTTTGCAACAGAAATCCTGGGTAATGTTTTTAAATGTCTTTTGCTAAAATGTATATTACTGTTTTGGTGGATGTAGTTTATGTTCTTGGCAGCAAGAAAATGTCTTTAGAGTTTAGCATAATTTTAGAACCTCAGGTGAGGCTATGGTAGTGAAAAATTAGAATTGGAGATTCAGCCATTACCATGGATTTGTGAAAAGCTGGCCATTGATCAGCACTGCTTTGTTTGAAAATGAATCATTTGTATTCATTAAGCTAAATGATTGTTAATCACTTTGGAAAATCCCACATGTAAAATTCTGTCACCCTCTTGAACCAGAGCTCCACTGAGGTTAAGACATCAATGCTTAAGACAATAAAGATATCAGTTCCAATGTCTTAATTTTGCTAGGTAGTTTCAGAACATTTCCAAGGCATATTCAAAAGAGCACAAAATAATACAATGAAGTATCTGGTCATTATATTTGAGCAATACTCTGTATTATATGTGTTAGTTTGGACACATTTCTGTTAAATTTTGAAAAATCCTTTTTTCTTCATGTTGAAAGTGCTGGGGAAAAATAGATGGATGGATGGATATTTAGAAAGAAAGGATCATTATATGTTGAATTAAAGGAGTGTAGAGCTTCATTTTCAATCTCCAAAAGATGCTTCAGAGTCCAGGAGAGCACAAATATACATCTGTATGTAATATCTTAAAGCAGCTGCAATTTTTCTGAGACTGAACGGCAACTGCTAAATTATACATATCACTAAACTATATATGTTGATAATAAGTATTTCACTTGCCATTCGTTTTGAAGAATTCTCTTTATGCTATGCTAGGTAAAGTAAACATCTCCGTTTCCCCTGAACACATTTTTGAGGGGGATACAGTAAAAATAACCTGCACAACAGAATCCACTGCAAGAACTGTGAAATGGGGTTATACTGTTGCCAGGCATGGCAGGCTCACTGTGACAGAAGAGATTAAAGGGAAAAGCAAGGTAGTAACCCTGACAATAACAGACATCAAGCTGAACGAAGCAGGTAATTTTGAATTCTAAATAGAAAAGTGCTGGAACTGTTGTTTTATGCTGTCTGGTAACCATCAGTCAAAGGGTCAGAACCAATTCTTATAAACACCCCCACCAACACTTGCAGGGCAAGCCACTGTATATAAACAGGGAGCAAACCCCACACTCAGTAGCACTGATGATGTTACCTAGTTGG